GGAGACTTTTGAAAGTGTATAAATATGTATTATAGCGACTTTTGCAAGAGTAGTTAACATTTCATGCTATTTTTTTCAGAATATAGAAAAATTTTTCACTCTGCTGTTAGTGGACATGAAACCCACCAAAAACTAAAAACCTAAAAAAAAATTACATAGTGCATTTTGCAAGTGGACTACTCAATTGTTGAATATGCTATCTTATTTGTCCCTTCTTTTTATACAATTAAGGAGCGGCGGCTGAATGGTTTAACGATATTAGCGGTACATAATGATGTACCGATTACAACTCAAGAAATAATTGAAAAAATATGTGTTAAGCAACGAACATTAAAAATCGCTTTATAAGTAATAAGATTTTTTAGACTTGTACATAAATAAAAGTAAATAGATACGTGTAAATATATAAATATGCAGATATATTTAATGTGTAAGAACTGAAGTGTATACTAACGAAACTTCTACAAAACAAAACTGGATTACAAACTAATTAATTAAAATGGTGCAGTAATTTAATTTTTTTATGTTTAAATAAAGCATGAATTCCCCATGGAATAACCGAGTAGACAAAAAATATATAACGGTAAAAATGGCACATACATACATATATGAAGGAATGCCTACAGGCAACGCCTCTATCCAATGTGTATCACAACTTTAAGTTATCGATGGAAATTTTTTTTAATCCCTCCCCCCCTTCGCCAAATCCTGGCTACGCCACTGGCTTGCAGTTAGCAGCTACGTGGCGTTGCAGTATTTTTGTGTTATTGTTGGTTTCACCATTAACCCTTATCATACACTTTTCACTTTTTGCTCCAGCTATACTTGCTGCCTCCTCTACGAAGGCATTCCTCCTAATATTAAAATATAATGCCGTAAATTATGTTGAATTTTGTAATGCGAATCCGTGAGCTGATATCTCATATGTATATATATATATATGAGCTGATATATATATATATATATATATATATACTAGCAAATGCCCGCTTGCTTCGCGGCGCCTAATAATATCTTTCGCGTTGGCCAATTCAAAAATAGCGTTTCAAAGCAAAAGCAGTCTGTAAGGCAAACATTTTTAGTTCACACATATAAACTTTCACTTTGTGCGACTGAGTGGGCTATAAAACTGCATACTCAAAATCTTTCTATAAAATCGAATTGAAAAAGCTCGAAATTTACTAGACGCCATACGAAATTTCGCATCACTTCTTTAAAGATTCGAATTTTGGGTGCACCGTGCGGTGTTGATAAGGTTACCAGACATACGCTTACCAATTTAGAATCAAATATAGCGTTCAGGGCACTGATAGCCGCCTGTCTATAAGAGTATATCGATAGCTGAGTGGAAGAAACGACCTATTTCAGAAAAAATTTCAAGAACGCCTAACTTCAGAATTTGGTTGAAGAACGCTCTACCGCTCTGCCGCCGATTCAAAAATGCCCTATCTCTATATATTTTCAAGTGAGACAGAGCGTTTTTGGACTGAATTTAGAGAAAGGGCGTGTTCATCTACCAAATTCTGAGGTGGAGTTGTGTTTCAATAAAATTCTGAAATAGGGCGTTCTTGAAAAATTTTCCGAGATAGGGCGTTTTCGAACTGCTTGCCGAGATAGGTCGATCTTCCACGCAGGTGACGATTCACTCTCCTACCCAACTGACGTTTCACACCGGTGTGTGTACCGCTTCCCTAATGGCAGCTACTTATTTAGACAGGCTTGCTTATATTTAGACAGGCGGAACTTAACGTAAATTAATGCCACGACAAAGTCGGTTTCATTTTGCTTTTCTCAGTTCTAAGTTACGTTAAGTTCATTTAAGTAAAGTTGCCATAATCAGACCTATAGTTATGTTCAGCTTGAATTGAAGCGCAAGCGTTGGATTGAATGTAAATGCATTCAGTCTTGAAGATTCTACAGTGTAGCATATGCTAATAAAGTCCCATTGCACGTTGCTTTTTAAAATTTTACGAGGGCATACTCAAATATACATACATACATACATGCTAATATAAATCTTTTGATTACTTTAGCATTGGAATTACACTTTTCACGCACTCATACGCTTTGCGCAAATGCTCTTTTTTTTTGTTTTTAACGGGATAACTGGATTTTTGTAACTTGCTATTGTGTCTTTTTTTTTTGGTGCGCTTGCATATGCAAAACTTCGACAAACAAGAAACCATCACAAAAAATGGGAAAATTCTATGATTTGTGAATTTTACTTTCGCTTACTGTGAGAATTTCAGCAGCTGTTGAATTAACGAGAAAGCAAACCGTTGATTTTTTGATTTTTTTCCCCCTCTAGGTATATCCTATGTATGTATGTATGTATGTGTGTATGTATGTATGTATATGTAGGTACCATTATGCAAGTGAAATGTAAAGCGAACTAGCTGAGCTATTTTGCCAACAAAAATATGAATCGAACAAATAAAAGCGCAGTTAATGGAAGTGGAGGGGAAGGAAAAAAAAAAAACGAATGAAATACAAGCGCTACACAGAAAATCCAGAAATATTTAATTCACTTTACACAACGCTAATTTGCACCAGTTTTCCAACTTTTCCACCAACCAGCTAACACACAAAAATTGTGCCAACATTTAGCTGCAGGCATCAAATTTTCCATGATGTTAATAACCTTGCCTTGTTTGGCTTTTCATGAGATTTGACCTAAAATAAATTAGCATAAAAGGTACAACACACACACACACACACACACACACACACAAACGCGCACTTACATACGCGCGCGGGAAACTTTCGGAAACGGAAATTCATTCGAATCTAAACTAGCAATGGCCACCAGCTAGTACATACTGGCGAACAAAATGTCAACTAATCCGCAGCCCCACTTCTGCAGAGCTTAGCGTTAACGCACAACCAACGCCAAATAAACAAGAGCGCCCAGCTGATACACTATTGTATTTGTATTTGTATTGTTACTTCCGTCATATCAGCTGTGACGCATTATTGGCTTCATCACAATGCATAAAGAAGCCGCGCGCCCGCGCTTATGACAATTTGCCATTTTGTAGCGCCAAAGAAGCTTGGAGGCTGCGTGTGGCGGCGCGTGAAACTAAAAAAACACAAAATACAAAAAAAAAACGCTTTGATTTAATGCTTCAGCGATTTGCGATTGTGAGCGGCTTTATGCAAATTTCTGTGTCTGTGGGGGTTTGTGCATGTATACATACAAGCATCCACATGTACCCTGCAGGGAAAGCTGCTAGTTAGTTGTGAACTACAATGCTACCAGTTGGCATTTCAGCCACAACTAGTTCACGTTCTATCCCTTTTCAAAGTTAGGAACTGTGTTTTTAATATGGCGGGGTCGAAAGAAATGTCAACTATTCGCTCCAGTTGACGGGATAGTCTGCCACTTCATTCACCGTGAGAGGAATAAGTACATTTTGCTGGCGGCGCTCCAACAGTCGCAGTGGGACACAGAACAAAGCTCGGGCGCGTCATTCGAGAGGTTCAAGATTGGAATTCTCGGTAAATGTTTTTAAGTGTATTTTTTAAATATTTTTTGCTTTTGATTAATGTTTTAATTGTAATTTTTATATTGTAATGTTTTGAAAGAAAAAAAGTAATTCATTTAATTTTTAAGTTATTTGAGTATTAAGTTTTTTACAAATGAAATTAAATTTACGATTTTTAATTTTTATTTAAGTTGAAATATTTGGCTTCAGGGTTGCCAACTTGGCTCAAACCGTGCCATTTTTGGCCTTATTTTACATCAAATGGCACTTAATTTTTCAATTTCGAAAATAGTAATATTTCAATACTTTTTTGTGAAGTCCTTTGCGTGTACTTCTTTTTCTCAACTAAAATTTTCTAATTTCTAAATATTATTCAGCTGGTTTATATTGTTTTGGCATTGCACTTTTGCTTTGCTTTTTTTTTTTTGCTTTTGAAATGTGCTCTCTTATCTTATTGCTAAATGGGAAGCATTTATAAGGATGACACCTTTTTTGGCTCTTTTATTTTTCTATTTGGCACATTTTGGCACTTTTTTTATCCTCAATATGGACCCTCATAGCTAAAGAGAGTTGGCAGCCCTGTTTGGCTTACTTAACTTTAATCACCACCAAGTGAACTCGAATTGGGTATCTCAGAACCACAGGCGATAGCCTTTGAGCAGGGCGTTTTTGTATTGGCTTTGCAAATTCAAAGGCAGATGTCCCTGATCGCAAAAAATGTTCCAAAATCGTCGAGCTGTTACGGCACCGCGCACACCAGTTAATGAAGTGGTATTTTTACTGAATGATATGGCTTTTCCCTGCAGGATAGTTGTGGGTGTGCGCGTGTATGTGGTGAGCCACCGCTTCACAAAGGGGACTGATGTTTATATAATTGGTTTATGTTTGTAGACATACTTTTAGGCGGTATAAATTTTATTTTGATTTCAAATACACACACATACATACATACATACATACATATGTATACATACATACATATATACATGTGTACACATACAATACATACTTTTATGTATGTACGCGTACCTACTTTTAAATTTATTTGCCTTTTTTCTATTGGCAAAGCTGACAGTTCAGCGGAGCGCAAACACAGATGAAATCTGAAGGTGGTTTACATAACGGAAAATTCTCCTCCTCCATACATCTGTATGCTCATATGTACGTTTGTATGTGTTTGTAGGTCGCATAGACCCCATCCATCCGTAAATGCTGTGATTTATGGCTGGCAAATGATTTATTTGCATATTTTATTTTTATTATTAGAATTTCATTTTTTCCCAACGAGGAATTGCAATTTAAAATCGGCTCGGCGGTGCCTGATGATGCATACAAATTAGTTTAATTAGTACGACATTCAAATATAAGCGCTTAGCTTAAATAAAATTTGCACTCATAACAAGTTGCAGTTGGTACTCAGTGTGTCAGCGACTTAAATTGACTTGATGGCGGTGATAATTGTGCCACGGCTTAATATTTTTGTTTTTATAAATAATTGACTTTTTTAAAACTTACGCTTTTACTAATTTGTGATAAATTCGAAATTCGTTGTAGTATTGAGCAGCTAAATATTGGTTTGTGATTTTTAAAGCCTTTGATGTTTATTTAATTACCTGGAAAGAGAGTTAAACGTAATTAGTTGAGGCTTATGATGAAAGTTAAATTATATAAATAAATAATTATGTCATTAATTATTCACTAAAATCAACAATTGCATTGAGCTTGAGGCCAATTTTACGAAAAACTCTTATTGGAAAAACAACAAAAATTCACATTGGCGTATTCAATGGCTATGTGAACCTCAATAAATATTAAATAATAAAATATTAAATAAACGTAATTTAGAAGAAGCAGTCTTGTTTTGATATTTTATTGTAAAATTATGAATCATCGATTAAGAAACCATTTGGCCCCCACTACATTTTTTCAGGGGGAAAAAAATATATATATTCTAATATTGTAGCTAATGACAAACGAATATGAACAACTTTTGTTCGTTTTCCAATAAAAATATTTTCGTTCATTTTAGAAGTCCAGTACGAGTTGAAGTTCGAAGGTCATTTAGGGGGTGAAAAAGGCACTTCCGGGAAAAAACTTTCAAATAAAGGTTTCGTATTTTTATCCTCAGAAACCCAATAAGTAGTAAAACCATTTACAGTGAGCGTAAAAAATATGAATAACCAGACGTTTCTTTATTTATATTTTCCATACCAGATTTTTCTAATTTTTTTATAAAAACAAAGTTAGTTCAACAGAAAAAACCAGCAGCATCGTTTTTTTCAATTTCATATACATATAACTCGGGAAAATTCAAGAACTACTAAAAAATTGTCATCAAAATTATCAACTTTTCAATTCCATTTCTTAAAACAATTCTGGGTATGCAGTTTTGTAGCCCATTAAATTTTAGTATAACAAGGTGCAAGTTTCAAGTCTATAAAAAATACCGTTGATATTTGACAAAAAAAAAAAAATCTCAAAAATCAACGGTAATTTTCAGAGCCTAAGAGTTGCGCCTTATTAAATTAAAATTTAATGGGCTACAAAACTGCGTACCCAAAATTTGAATAAGAAATCGAATTGAAAAGTTGAAAATTTTGATGGAAATTTTTTGGTATTTCTTGAATTTTCCCGAGTTCTATATGAAATTGAAAAAATCGGTTCTACTGGCTTTTGCTGTAGAATGAATTATATTTTTATAACAAAATAAAAAAAGTTGGTATGGAAAATGTAAAAGAAGAAAATCGTCAAAGCATCAGGGTATTCATATTTTTGACGCTGACTGTATGTCTTATTAGAAAATAGGACTTCCGGTCAGTTTTACCCACTTCCGGTCGAAATTAGAAGTCAGTAATACCCCTAAAGGATAGAGCATCCCCGATTTAGTGCGACATATTTTTGAGTTGTTTCAATAAAAAGCACTTTGTAAATGAAAAGTTAATTTTGTTCAGAAACAATTATAATGCACTGATTTTCCTTTTAAAAATTGGGAGGGTCAATCGTAATTTTTGGTTTATAGTTTGTTCACCAATTTTTCTTACGAACGTACAATTCGGATATGCCATCAAATTTTTTCGAAATTAAATTAGGTAGGTGCTCCGCTCTGATTAAAAGTATTCTTAATATTTTCGTATTATTTTTATTTTTCAATTTATACATGTCTTATCTTTGAGTACGCATCGGTATTTTCAATGAATTATATGCACACAACATTGCTGGGAGCACAAAGTAGATACATTTTCATACTTACATACATATGTGTTTAACCAGAAAAAGGTAAGCCAAGTAGCACGCAGAATTACCTGCTTTTTACACGCGAAAAGAAGTAATTAAGAAAACTCATGAAATTTTTTTTGCTCATAAAACCCGAATTTAAAATGTGTTCATAATTGCATAATAGCAATTTTACTTTTTACAACGCACTCAAAAGAACAACCTGCTGTGCTACATATAGGCTATATAGCTATAGCTGCTTTATACTTAAGACAATTCATAGCATACTTACAGGCGCATAACGGCATGGCACATTAAATCGCAATTACAACTTCACTAGAAGAAATAACGTAAAAAGCCAAGCCTTATGGGCAAAAGAAAGAGCAAACAAAGTGCAATAATCAAGTTATTTATGAATAACAGACTTACGCAATAACAAAGAGAAGTGGAAAATTGTTTTTCTTTGTAGCAGTTTTGCTCTGATTGAAACGCTAGCGGCTAACTTAAAGAGAATGCCTTGCATAGCTACATATAATTTCGCAACCAGAACTCTATAAATACTACATTGCTGCATACCTGCACCAACGAAAATTGAAGAAATTCTGCTGGAGGGTGAGCTTTGTTTGAATATTGCATTTGTGTGGGTCAATTTTATATATGTTTGTATAAAATTTAATGCATTTAAATTATTAACCTTAATTATCAATATTTTTTAGAGTGCTTGACTACTGAAATATAGCCTTTGTCTTTCACGTGACCTTAACATGACGTCGACAAGTCAGTCTGTGGCACTAGGATCCTGTGCTAATACATAGCTATGTCTGCAATAGAGTGCTTAGAGATTACAAAATATCAGTTATCTTAGTCACCTTAAATCGGAAACACCTCAAAAATTGTCTGAGGATCATAGCTTTGGTATTACTCGTGACATTGTCTAGAGCTTGAAGAGGTGCTTGGGTGTTTTACTTCTATATAATATTTTCTCTATCCGCAGACAGTCAATAACCCTGTCTGTAGCCTTAAGCTCGTTTCGAAAGAAGCTGAAATGTTATAGAGGTTGGAACATGTTTTATATTGCTCCAATTAAATCATCTGATGACTCATTTGCTCAATTATATCCGTCTGCATAAAACCAAATAGAGTCGATAGTTGCTGTAACATCCAGGGTCTTCGTATGAGGAATACTTTATACTCTCTGTCGAAGATTGAGCGTAGTATCCAGTAATCCGTTTTTTTTTTTTTGTTAGTTGATGAAACGTGTCCAAAATCGAAGTTACTGAATGAAAGGAACCATCACAATTTGCAGGAAACATTTTCCTCGCAGGATATTGCTCATACTGGACGAATAAAATTTCCTAAGTAATTTCTTTGTGTACATGGACAGCCGAAGCACCGTCTTACTTGTAAGAATTCGGCACACGATTGGAATTATTTAACGACATACAAGTTTCTATGGTCGTCGGGTAAATTCTTATCAAGAGCGGCCCGCATAGCCCAACCATTCTTGAAGAAATTAGAACACATATCTACTACGGCTGAGCACTAGTACTCAGTAGTAGTGTCTAGTGATGTGCTACTCGTAGAAGTATCGATACTTTTAGGTAATCATGGATGCTTAGCATCGAAATGTTTAAATATATAATGAGAGTGCACAACAGCCAAAAACATACAATTAAAATAGACGAGACTCCCCCAAATATCAAAATTCGAATGAAGAGGCTAATATCCCAAGAACAATTGGAGTTGGTATTGAACTTCTAAGAAATTAAAAAAAAAACACGGAAATGGGATTTTAAAGAAATCAAAAGAAGTTTTTACTTATCCAAAACCCAAAAATTTTCAGATTCCTTTAAATTTGGTATTCTTTGAATCCTAAAATGAGAAATTAATCGGCAGGGATAGCTCAAGTAAATACCTTTGAGAAATTCAACTTTCAATCTGTAGCGATTATGTTGGTTATAAATACTAAATTTTCTGTTCATATAAAACCAACCATTTCAATTGTTCCTCCGAAATATTATTTCAAAAAACATTGAAATTGTCTATGGCCAATAGCAGATAATTTTTTTATATCAGCACACCAACATTTTTTGATATCTTCACAACATTTTGACACAATTTTATATAATCATCACACAAAACAAATTGCTTAACAACACACAGAAATACAACCGTACAAATATAATTACTAAGTTAACGTAACTAAAACGCCCATTCGACACTTGTCGGAAGGTATGTATGTGTGTATGTATTTCCAATTTGATGCCAAACGGATCAACATTTAAAGCCAGACAAAATTGACATTAATGCCGACACAAATCCTGTCAATAAATCAACTCAAAGTCAAAGTCAAACAAAATTGACGAGCAACAATATTAAAAACAAACAAGTTACGTATTCGATTTAAGTGTGCGTAATATTTACGTATGTATGTAGGTTAGAATGGGAGTAAAATTGAAGGTAAATAAGGGAGTGGTGTTGCATAAGAAGAAGAAAGGGAAAGTTAAGGAGAAGGAAATTGTTTGTAGAGGAGTATGGAAAGTTGTATGTGATTAATTAATCGCTAGTGACCTGAAAAAAAGTTTACGCAAACAATGGCGTGGAAACTAATTACATGAAAAAAAACATAAAAAAAATGAAAAATCCGTATTGATATTTGCGGACCTCTAAACATGGTTTCCTTTTATTACACGAAGAAATTTAGTTCAAACCAGGACTTCCCCATAGTTTTATGCAGGAGGCCAATAGGTCATGGTTAGGCGAGGGCCCTTGTATAAAAACTAGGCTACTATGCCCGCAAATTGATAGGAGAAAAACCGGAGAACTACTCAGTCTCTCAAGGGAGAACATTTCGATTGCATGGCTTGTGTAACCGGTCATTGGCTATTTGGTAGGTACGCTCTGAGATTAGGAATAATCTCCCATGAATATTTCAGAAGCAAGGTCCATAAGTGAGTTGGTCATTGGACCGACTGCCACATCAACCTAACTTAAACTTAAACTGTCGTGGATCTGGGCGACTCTTCTTAAATTTTACAAAGCCTTTTCTTACCGATGGCACAGCTCGTAAATGACTGAGATGGGTCAATAGTATGCGTTACAAGAAAATTTAAAACTGTTCTTTTAATCGGTAGTTTACAAAAGTCAGTATGCCTCCTACTTTTGAAAGCAATTGAGTTCAGGTAGCCTTCGGAAGGGCACACGTATCCAAAGCTGTTGCCACAATGGTCCGGTCCAGTAGGAGTAGAATATCTCAATTTGTCATTAGCGGCTATCCCCAATCCAGACTTGTGGAGGTAAGGAAGAGTTATCCTGGGAAATCACATTGACATATAAGTCTCCTTAGTAGAAGCAGATACAGCTGCTATTAGGCGTACGCGGCACACGAA